GACCCCCGTTTGATTCCTGGGTCGGGAAGATCTGCTGGAGAAGGGACAGGCTACCCACTCCAGTATTCTTGCATTTCTCTTGTGTCTCAGGTGGTAAGGAAACTGCCTACAATGCAGGAGACCTGGGTTCAATCCCTGGGTTGGGAAGACCCCCTGGAGAAGGGAATGGCTACTGACTCCAGTATTCTGGCCCGGAGCACCTGGGTTCAATCCCTGGGTTGGGAAGACCCCCTGGAGAAGATAAAGGCTACCCACTCCAGTATTCTGGCCTGGAGAATTCCATGGACAGTCCATGGGGTCACAAAGAGTCGGATATGACTGAGTGACTTTCACTTTCACTGTTCAAATCTGTATACCTTTTATATCCTTTTCTTGCTTTGTTACACTGGCAAAAACTTTCAGCACTGTGTTGAATAAGAGTTGTGAGTAGTAGACATCCTTGACTTGTTCCTGATCTAAGATGGAAAGCATTCACTTTCTCACCATTAAATATTGTTAGCTGTAGGTTTTCTGTAGACGTGCTTTATTCCATTGAGGAATTTCCCCTCTATTCTTATTTTCTGAGTTTATCATGAATGGGTGTAGAATTTTGTCACATGATTTGTCTGCATCAATTGCTATAATGATGAGATTTTTTTTTTTCTTCTTTAGTCTGATGATGTGGCAGTTAGACTAATTGACTTTCAAATATTGAACCAGTCTGGAATTCCTAGAAGAAAACCTACTTGATTGTGTATAATTTTTTGTATATTTCTGAATTCTATTTGCTAATATTTTGTTAAGGATTATTGCATATCTATTCATGAGAGTTATTGGCCTATAATTTTCTTTCTCTTTTGGTATTGTCTTTGGTTTTGTACGAGGGTAATACTGCTTTATAAGATGAATTAGAAAGCGTTCTCTTCTATTTTCTGGGTAAGATTGTATAATTGGTATTGATTCTTCTGTAGTAGAATCTTCAGTGAAATTCTGGGGATTGGATATTTCTTTTCAGGGATTTTAAAATTAATCTTATTTCCTTAATAGCTGTCAAATAACCTATTTCATATTGGGTGAGTTCTAATAATTTGTGACTTCAACAGATTGGTCTTTCATCTAAGTTGTCAAACTTACAAGTGTAAAGTTGTTTGTAGTATTCCCTTGTTATCCTTTTGACATCTATAGTGGCTGTAGTAATATCCCATTTTATTCCCTAAAAAAGAGTTTTCAAACTGCAGTGTTGGAGAAGACTCTTGAGACTCCCTTGGACAGTAAGGAGATCAAACCAGTCAATCCTAAGGAAATCAACCTGAATATTCATTGGAAGGACTGATGCTGAGGTTCTAATACTTTGGCGACCTGACACGAAGAGCCAACTCATTGGAAAAGACCCTGATGCTGGGAAAGATTGAAGGCAGGAGGAGGGGAGGACAGAGGATGAGATGGTTGGATGGCATCACCAACTCAATGGACACGAGTTTGAGCAAACTCCGGGAGATGGTGAAGGACAGGGAAGCCTGGCATGCTGGAGTCCATAGGGTTGAAAAGAGTCAGACACAACTGAGCTATTGAACAATTCCCTATATTGGTAATTTGTGTCTTGTCTTTTTCTGTCAGTCTTGCTAGAGGTTTATTGATTTTACTGACTTTTCTAAAGAATCAGCTTTTGTTTCATTGATTTTTCTCTGTTGGTTTTGTTTCAATTTTATTGATTCCTGCTCCAACTTTATTTTCTTCCTCTGCTTGCTTTGAGTTTTTCTAGGTGTTTGATGTGGAAGCTTTAGAGTATTGAGATTTTTTTCCCCTTCTTCTCTAATGTTTGCATTTAGTGCTATAAATTTTCCTTTCAGCACTGCTTTAGCAGAATCCTACAGATATAAACATTCCAGTTTCATTTCTCATTCAGTTCAGTGTTGGTGAGTCACTAAGTCATGTCCAACTCTTTGCACCCCATGAACTGCAGCACACCAGGTTTCCCNAATACCTGTATTAAGAATGGCGTAACACTAGAAAGGTCCTGTCTTCCGGCTGGAAGGTGAGAGATGGGGAAATGCTCGAGTTTTCACATGGGGATCACAGTGAACGCATGAGTCAGAAACCAAGACTCTGAAACCTAACTGCAGGCAGGCATTCACACTCAGTTATCAAATGGATGCCGGGGTCAGACCTCCAATTCCTAAAAGTCAACAGAGTCCTTGAGACTACAAAATGACAGGGACTTCCCCGGTGGCTGAGACTCTGTGCTCCCCACGAAGGGGGCCTGGGTTCAGTTCCTGGTTGGGGAACTAGATACTGCAACTAAGACCTGGTCCAGTAAAAAAAAAAAAAAAAAAGAACAGAAGGAAAGGCTCTATGAAAAACACGCACATTCATGATGACAAAATACTCATTTTCCCTTGGGGGTTAGTGTTTTTTTTTTTTCTTCGATGTGTCTGGAGTCTTGGAAGCTTGAATACACTAATGTTCTCCTATAAACGGACCTTGAGAGCTTGTTTGGAGGTTCCAGCAGGTGGGTGCAGGTACTCATATATCCTTGATCAAAGAACGGTCCTCAATTGGGGAAGGTTGTCCTCTTCAGCAGAACGTGCAGCTCGCCTAGCCAACCAACCAGTCAAATCAACCCCGGCAGTCAATGGGGTGACAGATGACACAGCCAGATCACCCTCACAGAAGGTGTTTTTTAATAAAAATATTTTTATTAATTGGGCTTCCCTAGTAGTGGCTCAGTGGTAAAGAATCCACCCACTGATGCAGGAGATGCAGGTTCACGCCCTGGGTCAGGAAGATGCCCTAGAGGAGGAAATGGCAACCCGCTGCAGTATTCCTGCCTGGAGAGTCCCCATGGACAGAGGCGCCTGGTGATTACAATCGACAGGGCTGCACAGAGTTGGACACAACTTGGCGACTGAACAGCAATGCTATCATTCTCTACAGGAAGAGAGCAGAGAGTCTAATCTTCCCTCAAGCAAGGCTGATCGAAATTTGCATTATATTGTTGATAACTAAGAAGAGTTTTTTTCCAACTTCAAATCACATTTCATTATTAGAAAGTCATATACATTTACATTTTTAGGATTGTTGTCAAATAACAATTTATTTTTTCTTAAAAAAAAAAAAAGCAGCTCTTAAAACATGTTCCAGCACATTCAGTAGCAAAGATCTACCAGTGGTACACATATTAAGAAAACACACAGTAGGTTGGTAGTAGTTGGGCTGATTAAAATCTATATGCCTGGAAAGGTGGTTGTGCTTAATGTAGCTCTGAAGAATCAAAGTACAAAGCAATATATAAAAAAACAAGTCTGAAAACTTCAGAGACTTTTTAAGATAGACTTAATTTCTCGTGATTTTCCCAAAGCCAGTCATGATATTTATTTAACTTATGGTCTTCAGGGTGTACCTGGAAGAAATACANAACTTTCTTTCAGATTTTGCTTCAGATATTATTATATTTGAAGTTTCTTGTAGATAGTATATAGTTTAGTCTTGTTTCTTAATACACTCTAGTAATATCTGCCTTTTAATTGGTATATTTAGGCCATTTATTAATATGTTGCGCTTAAGTCTTATTTTTAAGACTTCATATTTCTCTTTGTTCTGTTTTTGCTTGTTTTACTCCACCTGCCCCACACCCCCCCCCAACTGTGAATTACTTGAACATACTTTAGAGTTCCATCTTGATTTATCTATAGTACTCTGAATTCATCTGTTTCATTTTTTCAGCAGTTTTAAATATTTACTCTGTATATATTTAGAATCACCTTAGGTAGCGTTACAATTTTGCTTCAACTATCAAATGTAACTTAGAAAACTCAAGATGAGATTTACACATTTTCCTTACTGTATTTTTTGCTTACCGTATTTTAAATTTCTTCTTTTATAATTTCCTGTTTAAAGAAACTCCTCTGCCATTCTTTTAGGGTTGATCTGCTGATGAAAATTCCCTGAGCCCATTCTGTGCATCCGAGCCCAAGCGATGGCCCAAAAGGACTACATCAAAATGCCATCCCCATGGCAGGGCCAGAACAAGAAGAATTGCTCATTCAGACCAGAAAGGGCTGAGAGGTAAAGAGCAGTACAATTTATCACAGTTAGAAGATGGAGTGAGAAGGGTTTGAGAGGAGCTGGGACTTTTCAGGTTGTCGGTTTGGGGGAGCCGTGCTAAGGCAGGAGATGGAATAAAGTACAGAGTCAAGGGTCAAAAGCACAGGGCAGAAAGAGACGAATACATAAAACTGCCCTTTCTGCTGACGTGTTCCACAAAGAAAGGTTTTGCTTCCCCCCAAGGGAATGCCAACTGACAACCCTCTCCAAGTTCTGGCTTAAATACTGTAAACTTTAGGTCAGGTGAGGGCAAGTCTCTCATCCTGATAAACATCTCTAGAACTTACATCAGCAAGATCAGAAACAAAATCCTGATTTGGTCACATTTTTTTTTTAACAAGTCACTGCCAAAGAATCACTTTACCTGACCACCGCCTGCCCCACATGGACCCTTCATTTCATAGAGGAGGCAGCTAGAGGGGAATAGCTTTCCTTGCCTTTAGATAGGCAATGATAGGGTTCCCAATTTCCGTCTCTCCTTTAAGCATCTTGGGCTTCCCTTGTGCCTCAGCTGGTAAAGAATCCACCTGCGATGCAGGAGACCTGAGTTCAATCCCTGAGTTGGGAAGATCCCCTGGAGAAGGGAAAGGCTACCCACTTCAGTATTCGGGCCTGGAGAATTCCATGAAAGAGTCAGACATGGCTGAGCGACTTTCACTTTCACTTTTAAGCATCTTGGTTCTAATTCCCTAGCAGCCACCTCTTCAACCACCACCACTTCACTCTCTCCTTTTAGAAATAAGAATGGGGCTGCTTCTCCCATGGTCTTATTTGAAATGCTTCAGTTCCCATCTCAGTGGTCACAAAGCAATAAAAGAAAATGTTGTCCTCAAGTCTGAGAATTCACTCAGTGATTAGGAATTATTTTTAGATCTAAAACACCCACAAGCTTAAGAAAAAGAATGAGCACATAATGATTTAATTGGCTTTCTCTTTTAATCAAAAACATACTTTGTTACAGAGTTCTCAGGAAAGGTTCAACTGTTTTTCAGCCACAGACTTCAACCAGGCAAAAGCATACAGAAAGCCACAAAGGACCTACCAGAGCCCTTAGCTGATCAGTTTTCCCCAAAGCAGAAGCTAAGTGTGGCTCTCCTCTGAGATACGGCATGGCTCCTCTGACTTCAGGAGAGGAGACAGAGTTGGGAGGTATGACCCCCAAATCCGCCCCCAACCCCGAGTCACCTCTTCCGAATGGTTCTGCAGCCCACCAGGTTTTCATCATCTACAAGCTTTCACACTCTTCCCTTAAATCACACGTCCAAGGCATTGGCCAGAACCCAATGCTTGGAAGAAGTTTGTTGACTCCGTGTTTAGCCTTTTAACCAATCCAAGCCCTGAGTCCTTCTATCAATGACAAGCAGCCATAGCAACAGCAGCTGGTTTCATCCCTTCCCTTCCAGCCACCACTGAGCTGGCCTCTACCAGGACTCCCCAACCCCCTACCCTTGACCCACCCCCAAAGAAGGCTTGATCCTTGAAAAAGCCAAGTCCATTAATTATACTAATTCAAGGATAGGCTGGAAGAGAACTCTGAACGGAATGCTCCAGCCAAGTCTTCTGATCAAAATGGACCTAACAAGAGCCAAAAATAAAGTGAATAGTCATCCACTGGTATTGTTTTCTTGAGTCATATAAAGCATTTTAATTGATATAGTTCAAGGAAATTTCCCTATTTTGAGAAGAGTTAAGAAACCAAAGACCCAAAGCAATGACCTCTAATATCACTAGGCATTTACAATAAGTTTTCAACCCATTCTAGTTTTAAAAAATTTTACCAGCACACAGCACTTAAGAAGATGGTGTCACACACATACCCAAAAGGTAAAAATATTATGACTCAAAAGAAGCCTTAATACACCATGAAAACAGATGATGAGAAAATAAAATGAAGGCTTTTCTCCCTCTTATTATTTTAAGTATTTATTGCAGCCCCCAAGGTGGTGCTAGGCCTTTGGTTGAATTTAAGTCTTAAGGACATATTATGTAACTTCTTGTCCACAGAACAGTAATAAAATATCAAGCCTAGTCTCATTTGAATAATGTGGAAATAAGTAAAAAGCCCCCTCAAACAGCAGACCAAAGTAAGGAAGAACTCCCAAACTGCTGCAAGGTAAGCAAGGTCACTTAAACTTCAGAGCTGGAAGAACTCATCTAGTCCAACTCCCTCATTTTACAGATGAGGCAACTGAGGCCCAAAGAAGGGAAATGACTTGCCCAAGGTCATATACATCAAGTTTTAGCGGCAGAGCGCAAACTAGAGGGTGCAGCTTCTGGCCCCAGCCCAGAGCCACTCATTTCAGGCTGAGCAAGAACACTGGTTCTGAGACCTATTTGAGAAAGCATCTGAGATAAACTGAAAATTATCCACATCAGTAGAGAGAAATGATTGTCTTCACCAGTTTTCTCCTTTGTTCTTCCTACATTAAAAAAAAAAAATGATGAAAGGGGAAGAAAAAAGGTTCATTCACTCATTCAAGGCTGATGTTAAAATCCCTGAAAACATCAGCAATCACTTTAGCTACTCCTTGGGGCAGGTTATCAGACCCTCAATTCTCATAAAGGCACCTAAAGGTCAAAAATATCTGTGAGGAGGAAAGCCAGAAGATAGGACTCAAAAAGGGACACCAAAACAAAACGAAAATAACCCTCTCATTTTCCAAGCTTTCATTTTTTTGCTGTGTTCTTTTTACACTGGTGTCCTCTAGGCAGCAATGCTGCCTTTGACTATTGATGCTCATTTTGTAACCAACCAACACTTTGTAACCCCAGTTTTTGTTTTGAGCAGCACTCAAGTGGAAGCAACAAAACCTTTCAAGGGGGAAAAAAATATGAGTATGACTCACTTCTCTCTATTCTCAACTACCTGAAACTCAGCAAGGATCAGGAAGCACACTCAGCAGTCAAACTGATATCAAATGCTAAAGCCCTAAAGTCCTTTTCAATACTTTACAGGAAAGTTTCTTGGGTCCTGTCCCAGTTTGCCCGTGTTTTAAAGAAAGTTCTAAAAAGTATGGTTATCCGGTTTTCTTGCCTAAGCAGTCAGGAAAGTCAATCAGAAAGGGGAGAAGGAAGAAAGGGGAGGTATACTGACAACACACAGGAAGCGGCTGCTGTCATTAATGGGGGTGGGGGAAGGAAGGGGTCTGCGTATAACAAAACCAAACATTCCAAACCACAGCAGCCTGCGACCATTCAGTGAAGGTAAGACTGTCCCACATGTCTTAGCAGCCCCTGAAGTCTATAAGCCAGGAGGCACAAGAGAAACACCGCATCCAATGTTCTCTGATACATATATCAAATAACTCCACGTCAGAAAATGAGCACAGTAGAAAAAGTTTTACTGCTTAAATAAGGTAAATTTGGATTATGCAAAAACTCCCATTCTGTGGTGACAGCAGAAGAGTAAGATAAACACTCTAGCAACACTGGGGCAAGTGCTTAGGGACAAGGCTGGGCCTGAGGATGCTATGAATAAGGTCACTAGCTTTTTATGTCCTTCCTAATATGTATTAGGAGAAAAGAAATTATCTAGTTGTCCGAGAAAAAAATGGAAAGGTTGCACACAAGGCTCTCATATCCCACTTTCTATCATCTTGCAAAAGAGGGCTTAGGCAATTATTTTACAGATAGCTATCTGCAGCAAGAGGGGTCCTGCCTTTAGGAAGGAAAAGAAGCATTTCTTCCATCTGCAAGTCTCAGCCAAGCCCATCCACAGGAGCTGTTAACTGACTTTACAGGTAATTACTTTCATATGCTCATCTACCCCAGTAACTTAAAACACTCCATTTCCCCAATCTGTTGTCATTAAATACAATGCCAGTAAAATGACTCAGTGATGGTACGAACAACCTTTAGAAACTATCAACAAAAAGGATTCTGCCTTACTCAGGATAACACTGTTCCTTCCAAAAGGCTCTCAAAAATGTTCAGAACTAATCTGATTTTGTATAATCACTAGTGAGTAACTATTAACTAGTTACCACCAAATCAAGAACAGAAATACTTCACCATATATTCTTTAACCTCCACTGATACTTAAGGAGCACCATGGGAAAAATGTAAAATTCCCCTTCTTTAGGTGGGCATAGTCAAGAAGACAACTGCAATTAAGCTTTTAAAATAAGGTATTTATCATCTGGAAGACAGGACATTTTATTCTGCCGTCAAATGTTCTATCACAAATACTCCTTTACACTACACCCTTCCTCATGAAAGTGGATTTTTTACTTTGAAGTGCAACACAACTGATATGTGTTCAGTTTATCTGGATATTTTGAGTATAGTTCTCCTTAAGCCAGATCACCTAAACTGTAAACCTACAATGTTTACAAGAGGAATGGGATAGGCAACCTATTTAGTGGTTAGGTCAATACAAATGAGCCATGCTTCTAGAAAAACAAGGTTATATGGCAGTGATTTATTACCACTATCTTTGTATAACAGGAGTAGTATACTATAAAAAATGAGATAAGACTACATCCCACAGAAGAACCTACCCCCGGGAAATTAAAGGCAACAACACCATTTTGGATTTAAGGATTCCCTTTGACAATGCGCTGAAAGGCACTAGAGGGAAGTGGAGAGGCCTCACACTGGATCATAAAGGTACGTACCTGGTTCAACTCTGCTCAGTTTTCACTGAAATTCAACATTCTGAGCATTTCCGAGAGATGAGCTAGCTAGAGAAAACCCACCCAGAACCCTATCCTCCTAACAGTCAGTCAGATTCCAAGAAATGTGGAAACTCTTCTACTCTTAAAATAGCCATAAAATCTTAAACCTAGTGGTTCTTTTAGTCTTGCTCATCAAAGATGACTACCTCTAAGAAATGTAAATACTGTTCAACAACTAAGACCCTCAGAAATAACTGATTATAATATACTAAATGTTTTCTCAAAAGCATGTGACTGAACCTAGGCACAAATATAAAGCAATTAATAACTAGAAGTACTTTTATGTACTTGTAGTATTTTTATGGCTCTTTGCAAAAAGCAACCAAGGTGGGTGGCCTAGACTCAAAGACAGACTACTTAGCAAATATTTTCCACAATACTTCCCCCAGATGATTAAACACGTAAACTTCCTTTAAAGCAGAAAAAGGGGCGATGTATTATATCATAGCATGCTTATAGTTCTAATCAAATAAACTCAGTTTTAAAAATCTGTTACTCTAAAACTCTCTCCTCTCGCTCCTACTCTTCATTTACAGTAAAACAGACCTAAAGTCAAAAATTCCTAGAGAATGAAGATATCTTTTTAGAAAATTTGCCAATAAACTGTAAAATCACCACATTTTTACAGGTTAGAATTAGGTCTTTAACAGAAGTGTTTGTAAGAACTCAAGAGTATAAATGAGTTGGTAGAAATGTTATTTTAAAAAACAAAAGACATGTAGCTTGGATTAAGATATGTTTAAAGCACAGAAATAAGCAAACTCAGTGGTTTCTAGGATGGTCTTATTAAGAAGAGAAGACCTAAGCAAGGAAGTAGAAGACTTGTTGATTTAAACTGATATAAGGATGATTATCATGCGTAAGTATTTCTCATGTCTCAAACTTGTAACACACCTGAAATAATCTTATTACACTAAGAAAGGCCCTCCATTTTGAAAAAAGCAAAAACATCTGAAAGATAATCTTTGATTTTATTTCACACTATTTATCCTGCAGACAACCTATTTATCTTATAGACAATCAGGCCTAGCTTTGCTACAGTAAAATAAAAGTGAAAAAAATAACCAACCCTACACTTGATACATAACGTCCACGGGGAGTCCTAGTAGAGTGGGAGAAGAAAACCAAAGCTGCCCAATAGTACTAGCTGTTGCCTGTCATTTAGTAGAAGGTGTCTCACCACTAAGGTTGGACTCAAAAGTGCAAGAGAAAAAAAAAGTTAAAAATCAAACCTAGAATTCAACTTTGCATGTTGAGATTCAGTTTTATTTATGCTACTAGCTAAGTAAAAAGCATACATATTGTGTCTGTGGTACAGTCAATACATTTGCAACTTTTCTACTTAAATTCTCTATACAAAGTCACTGCCAATTGATATGATCATTGATGGCAAAGGGCTTAGAATAACCAAAAGGTATAAAAAAGTTTGCAGTCTTGCCCCAAGATACAAAAACTGAATTTTAAACAATGTCATAACATACATGATTTAAACAGTATACGAAAAAAAAGTCACACATCAAATCAAGTACAAAAATATCCAAACTACCTATCAATGAATGGTAATGTTTCTATTATCCTGCACAGTACTTGACAAAGAATTTAGCGGTTTCCAAAATACTCATTATTTAGCTTAGCGTTGCCACCTGTGCAGAACGGTAAGGTATTAGATGGAGTGACACTGCTTTTAGTGTTTTTAAAAATATAAAATCTTTCCCTATGTTAAGGAAGGAAAGAAATTCCTCTTCTAGGCTCCTTAGTAACCAACCCTGTGCCTAGAAATACAGAATACATCTACTGTTTAACAGGGCAAAAGTATATTTATTGATAAATAGTTATCCAACAAAAATAACAAATGTAACTTTAAATGATACTCCTTTGTCTGATAATTTTAAGGAATTCTCAATATACACAGATTAGTGTTTTGCCTTGGCAAAAGAAAAATTGAAGTCGCAAGACAATCTGAGTTAAAATCATCTTCACTAGTTTAACTTGAAAAAAATATTTTGGATAAAAGGTTATAATACACTACTATCTTTTTTAAACACAGAGTAAAGTTGCTCTTGGTAAAATTAACTCACCCACATGGCACAATATTTTGGAGTAAAGTATGTTCAACAACAACAACTCACACACAAGATAACATAGGTGAATTAACTTTGAGAACTTCTCTGCCTTTAAAATGAGCAATATTAAATTTATTCTGTAGAATAACACACATATTGATGTTCTGCATATAAAAGGCTCTAAAACATTTTAAAGGGCTAAATTTTCCAGCATTGGAATGATTCCTTCAAACATAACTGGTGAAGATTTAATAAGAATGTATTTGTCCCAATCTTCAAGCTCTGAGCCATGCCTGAAAAGTTCTAAGTAGGAAAAAGAAAATTGTTTTAATCCAGTTTCTGTCTGCTAGGAGCAAGGCAGCAAACACATTTTTCAACCCTTTATGAAAAGATAAAGCAGAACAAAAGTGAAATATATCTTCAGATTATAAACAGGATTGCATCTTATAGTCCACCATCCTGAAAATGGTAAGGGCCCCAACAGTAAGTTAAAAGACCTCAGTCTAAAGGCTGTGGGTCGGCAATAGGCATGGTGTGAAGGACTTCATCAAGGAGCTGGAGGGCCCGGTGTAAGTGAATCTCAATCCAACAAGGTGTTTCCTTGATGCTCTGTCTTGGGTAATCAGGTCCCCAGCCTTTCACAAAACTCATCCTGAGTATGCATAAACGACGGAGGTCATCCACACCGATTCCGGCAGCAGCCGACAAACCTAACAGAAAAGATTTGGAAGACGTCAGCGGGACAGGCTGACCCCTTCCCATCCCCCCTAAATCTTACATTAATAAGGTGACCAGCTTTCTTTACTGCATTCTCCCCAGCACAAGACTTCTCTGTCAAAGTGCCAAAAAGTAAGTATAGATCTATACTTTGTCAACAGGGACTGAAAACTTTTGGTTAAGACAATGTATATTCCACATGGGTCTTCCAGCTACCATTAATTATAAATTACCACAATCCACCAACACCCCATCTGCTTTTTCTCTTTAGTAGTGGAGGTGAAGGGATAAGAAACAACTTGTTTTTAAGAGGCAGTGCATGTCTACACGCTGGTTCTAAGAACTTCACTCTCTGTCTAAACGGTCTAGTTCAGGGTAAGACATGACTAACAATGAGACAGAAAATAGTCCTGGTTCCACTAAGACTTCTTGAATGACCCAGATGATGTCTGTCTCTCAGTTTCACAATGTAACAGAGATAGTATATAATTACCCAATGGGGGGCAGTAGATGAGAAGGAGAAATTTAGTAACAGCTCTGGATTCTTCACTAAAAGCATATTTGTAACATCAAAACTAGCAAATTAATTGTTTAGATGCCCAAATTTTTTAAAAAAAAAATCAAATTCTATAAATGAGTATGCCTTATCTACCTCAAAATTGTAAACTCCTGAGCATAAGTCACAATGGAGACTCTGCATCTAATTCTCCAGTCAGAACATACAGTCATATAGTCAATCTGCATTCATCAATATTACAATAAAACTAATGGGAGGAATTTGCATGTACTGTAGAGAAACCTGCAGGGCCACTGCAGTTTTCTTAGCCAGTGTGATTTGCTTACCACACTGAAGAGGTTAAGAACAGGGGTTGAATGAATCACTAGTTATGCCTTCAGACGTGGAAGATGGGTGCCACGTGTTTCCATCATAAAAGTCTATAGTCAGGAGTTTAACTCTGCAGTAAAAAATTCCCCATCAGTGTGAAACCTGGCACACAGTTCAATTTTACCCTAAAATTAAAAAAAAGTCTACAAGTTATCAAAATACCACCCTCACTTAGTTTTCTCTCCATGCTTAGTATACTTTAAAAAAAAAGTTGGAGAGATGTCTAATTGTGAAATTGAAATATGCTTTCCTTCTAGAATAAAGCAAAGCACATCAGTGATTACAACCCACCCTGGCTGGTGAGCCAAGAATTAAAAGCATCAACAAAAATAGGGGAGACTGATCAATATAATAACAACAACCCCCTTTCTTCTTTATCCCACAGTCCCTTTTTTGATACAAAATGAATGAACACAGGGCCATAAACAAAGGGCAACTATTATAGACGAACAGTTTTTTGGGTTTTTTTTTTTTTTAACAAATTCAAAAATGTTATTATCCCAGTAAAAAGAACTTCACTTTCTATTACTGGTTAAAGTAACTAATTAACTGAGTCAATCAAGATAAAGCACCATCTACTACACTTGGAAAAAACAAAAATCAAAAGCATACTTACTGATGGCTGGGGCTATTCCACCCACTGACCCTGGGCCCGGGATGTTTCCTGCCACGGCTGCTGCCTGGGCAGCTGCTGCAGCTTGTGCCGTGGCTGCCTGCTGCTGCATCTGACGATGACACTGACGCAAATCAAAGACCTTAAAAGAATAATAAGTGTAAGTTTCATGCCATGAGTCCAGCAGAAATATTCCATATATCAAAAACCAATGCACAGTCTATTTAAAACGCACAGCTTGATTTAGCTCTCAGGATTAAATTAACTGTTTAAATCTTTTATGTAGATGGTAATTTCTTAGGAAAGCTGGTTTGCATGAAGCTCAACAAAGAGGCACAGCTCACTATTAGGACAGTTTTGGTTGCCACGCGCCTCTGTATCCTTTATCTGAGTTCAGTGTGGGTCAGCCATTACTGCCTTTGTGAAAAACCATACCACTGTGTAAAACGAAGTTAAGAAATCATCCCACCCTTTCATAACTAAATGAAGAGTTTTCTGTAGGTTGAATTGACGGCCTAGGTCATATGGCCAGCTTCTTTTCTTTATCATTTTAACTATTTGGAGGAATGCATAAAAGGCACTGTCACTACATAAGAAGACAACGGCATATCTCAGAGATGCACAGAAGCAATCTAACACGATATTTAGGATGTGTTTTAAAAAACTATAGAAACAAAGGAAAAAGAACTGATCACGTAAATGTAAAATCTTAACAACTACTGAATCTCAGTGATGGATATATGGGATTACATTAACTAGTTCCTCATTAATTTTAAAAATGCTCATGATTTTTAAAAAATTGCTTAGCTTTGAATCCTATCATTGATATCTGCTACTTATGTGGGTTAAATTTCTTAACCTTTCTGAAGCCTCAACTTTCTTATCTATAAAATGGGAATGTTAAGTGTGCATGCTTTTTCATATTATTGTAAACCTGGCATAGTATATAGTAAGCTCTCAATAAACATTATTTTTTTTTATTTTGTTTTTGGTCTCCCAGGCAGCCACCAACCTTGCAGGATGAGTTAAGGAGCTTATAGTAATTTCAACGCTCTTTATCAACCATGCCAAAGACAAGGACAAGAGTAGAAGCAAGGACCATGCGCATTTTAACAGCATTTTAATTTCTGAACCATGTGACTATACTCCTTCAACAAAAGTAAAGTACAATTTAAAACAATCCAAGTATGCACAAAACCTAAATATGAGTGAGCATAATTATCTTTGACAATAAAAGAAATCGAAGAATGTGTAACATAGAACTTTATCAGATAAAGAATAGGTTTGAAACCCAAGCCAGTAATTTTCAGATTCCTGAAAAAATTCTGACTGTCTTTAGTCACTCTCTTTACATGAACCGTAAGAGCATACAACAATAATACACAAGAGAACCCTCCCCAGACAGCAAACCAAATGCCCATTTACTCATTTTTCTACTCAGTGCCTATCTTCCAGCATCAACGATGGACAAAACTTAGACTTCTCAGTCTCTGGATCGAAGTTTTGCATTTATTACCTGACCAAGCTACTAGTCCTAAAAGGGACAGGAAGCATGACAAAGTCAGGTCTGGAAATCAGAAATCCCACAACGCCCAGAAAAACCGCTGTTTTCTCAAGAGTCCATTAGATTCTGAACTTTTCCACTGTGCTCTGACCTCTTAGAATGCCTTACCCAGCACAGCACAAAACAGGGATGCAAATATCTGAAAAGCCAATTAGCTCCACAATGACTTTTTTTTTAAAGAAGGAAACTGACAAACTTTCTTTTAGAGCAGTTTTAGGTTCAAGGTATAATTAAGCAAAAAAGTAAAGAGTTCTCTATTTCTACTCAAGTACAGCCTCTCCCACTGCCACATCCCACACCACAGAGGCACACCTGTTATCAATGAGCCTACACTGACAAGATTATCACCAAAAGTCAGTTTACATTAGGTCTCACTCTTGGTTTTATGATTCTATGGGTTTAGACAAATATATAGTGATATGTGGGCTTCCCTGGTGGCTCAGATGGTAAAGAAGCTGTTTGCAATGCAGGAGACTCGGGTTTGAACCTTGGGTCAGGAAGATCCCTTGGAGACGGGAACGGCAACCCACTCCAGTATTCTTGCCTGGAGAATTCCATGGACAGATGAACCTGGTGGGCTAGAGTCTATGGGATTGCAAAGAGTCGGACACGACTGAGCGGCCCACGCGCGCGCGCACACACACACACACACACACACACCCCCATAGTGATACAGTATTTTTGTTGAATCCTGAGCACTGTCTATGCATTTTTTCCCTCCTCTCTATGCCTAGAAACAATTCATCTTCTCACTGTCTCCATAGTTTTACCTCTTTCAGAGTGTCAGTTACAATCATATAGTATGTATGTAGCCTTTTCAGATTGGCTTCTTCCACTTAGTAATACGGTTGCTTAAGGTTGCTTAGTGTCTTTTCATGACTTAAATGCTCACTTCTTTTCAGTGTTGGGTAATATTCCACTCTGCAGATGTAGGATGTGTTGGTTGCTAAGTTTTTGGCAGTTGTGAATGAAGCTGCTATAAACATCCAGGTGCAGGCTTTCCTGTGGACATAAGCTTTCAAATCATTTGGGTAAATATTAAGGAGTGCTGACTGAGGGATCATATGGTTAGAATATGTTTGGCAATGTAAGAAACTACCAAACTGTCTTCCAAAGTGGCCGCACCCCTTTGAGTTTCCACCAGGAACGAAAGACAGCATCTGCTGCTCCACATCCTGGCCAGCACCTGGTTTTGTCAGTGTTCTGGATTTTAGCCATTCTCCAAGAATGCAGTGGTGTCCCAGTGCTGTTTTAATTCACGATTCCATAATGGCATATGAAACTGAACATCTATTCATATGCTTACTTGCTATCAATATATCCTTTTCCCTGAAGCACCGATTTGGGTCTTTTGCCCCTTTTTTAATTAGGTTGTTTGTTTTCTTATCGTTGAGTTTAAGTATTTTCTATATTTTTGATAACAGTCCTTTATCAGATGTGCCTTCTGCAAATATATTCTCCCAGTCCGAGGCTAATCTTCTCATTCTCTTGACACCATCTTTCATGGAGCAGACAGTTTAAATCTTAATGAAATCTAGTCTCTTAACTGTTTCTTTCATGGATTCTGCCTTTGATGTTATATCTAAAAAGTCACTGCCATATTCCAGGTCATGTATATTTTCTCCTATATTATCCTCTAGGAGCTTTATGTTTTACATTTAGGTTAAGTACAACCACTTAAAAAAATTTTTTTTAACCATCATTAACCTAGTATGGCCCATATATAATCTTGTATCATTTGGGAGGAGGGAATACAACTTACTTATAATTTCCTGGGTTCAAATATGTTCTCAACATACCCCCACCTCCACCAAGAGTAATTAAAAATTAACCAAGAGATCTTCACACATAGGTTCTTTATAATATGTTATAAACAACCTTAATTACGATGGCCTTAAAATCTATGCTAACACCAGGAGCACATATTCCAGTTAACCACAAGGATGAAATTTTAAACACTGTGACCCTTATCTACAGGTGCAGTAAAAATGATTCATCAAGCACCTCAGCGAATCTCCTTTCCACATGGGTTATTTATGTAATTACAGCATTCACACCAAAAGACCTAACTATTGACTACACTGCTAAACTGAAACCCAGGCTGCCTCCTCACTCTGCACTGTCTATACCATAACAGGTTTCATCTATTATACTGGATGGTAAAATTAAGGCTTTCACTGAAAAGGAAACATCTTCCTTTCAGAACCCAAGTTGTTGATAAAGACAATTCAAAGTAACCAAAGGTTTTAAATATTCTTTTTGGCTCAGATACAAAAGATATTCCTGATCTCCACCCCTGGGCTACTCAACAATTTACTTCCGATTTCATCTGTTTAAACATATTTCCTTACTCTCATCTAAGTTTATTACAAACCCATTACTTAAACAAAGGTGTCTTATAAAGATCACTGTCAACACCTTCAGGATATTCTCTTTTAACCAGGAGTCAAATTTTGGCATTCTTTTTTCATAAGGATCAATTACAGTATACTGTTTATATCAACACCAAGAAACAGTAATCCAGGAAGAGAAACAGGTCCCTGTGTTGGTGATACACTGGGCATCTGAACAGAAGACTGCACTAAAGATTTGCTAAGTTATCCGACCTGGGGATCTAAGAGTCATGATATCTAGTGACTGAGAATAAATTTAAGTGGATCATAGTAACTTTAACCTAGTCCAGTTGTGATTTAGAAGCACTGTCTGCCTCCTGTCCCTTACACATATATATGTGCAACAACAAACCTGACTCAGTGTCAGAGAACGCAGATCTAACCCACCATAAATGAGATACCATGTCACATGCCCTTAGGAAGGCTAACATGGAAAAGACAGATAACAGTAAGTATTCATGAGACTGTAAAGAAATCAGAAACTTCATACACTGCTGCTGGAAATATAAAATGGTACAGCCACTTTGAAAAACAGTTTGGCAATCTCTTAACAAGTTACACATAGAGTTACTTTATGATCCAGAAATTCCACTCCTTGGTATCTGCAAGAGAAATGAAGATGTACATTCACAAAAAAATCTGTACATGAAAGTTATAGTGGTATATTCACAATACAGCCAAAACTCATATGTCCATCAACTGATAAATGGACAAACAAAATGAAATGTTTGGAATGTTATTCAGCCCTAAAACAAATGAAGTATAGATACATGCTACATGAATGAAGCTTGAAAACACTAGGCTTAGTGAAAGAAGTCACAGAAGACCACATTGGATGATTCCATTTACAAAAACTGTTCTGAGTAGGCAAACCCATAGAGAGAAAAAGTAGATTAGTAGCTGGATAGGGCTGGAGGGTACAGGGGGTTGGGAGGTAGCACATAATGGGTGCAAGATTTCTTTCTAGAGTAATGAAAATGTCCTAAAACTGACTATGGTGATGGTTGCAGCTCTGTGAATATACTAAAAATCACTGTACTGTACACTTCTAATGGGAGAATTATATGGTATGTGAATTATCTCTGTATCTCAATAAAGGCCTTAACCCGAGTGTCCAGTGCTTAAGCAACACAAACAGATCTTACTTTTGAAAGCAAAAGAGCAATGACACTTAAAAAGAATTCAAACATCTGCTCCATTTAAAGCTTGTAAAATGCCATTTCATTACATCAAATTTTCATAAATGTAAGGTGACTGCTATGTCATGAGAGAAGTAGGAAAAAAAATCAGTATCATAGAAGGAAAAAAAATGCAATTTAGTCCTAGCTTCTTAGTTTATAAAATGAAAGAATAGCTCTCCAAACCTATGTTTTCCTCATTTTAACTGAAAGGAGAAAAATATGTTTCTGTGTATATGTGTGATTGGGGCTGGGCTGGACTCCCCTATGTAAAGACACTCTTTCCACAGGTTCATACACATGCACTCAACTCACCCCAGTAACGTCACCTCTGGCAAAAGTCTATCTGACAATCTAAAACACTAAGATACAGATCCTTTAGGTTACTGGTGCCCCCCAAAATTTAAGAAAACACCAATGGCCAGATTTAGGATATACCTGAATCTCCTTTTGGCTAACAAGACTCTTCTAAAGAATAATATACTTAATAAACAGTAAATTAAAAATAATTATTTTAAATCTTAGTTAATAAAACATAATTGGGATTTTTTTTTACTCCATGAAAATGTACCAGAAGATAATTTATTTATTTTTCAAAGCAAAAGTCTGAGTTTGCTATAAAAATCTATCCACGAAAAAAAAAAAAATCTATCCACGATATAGTAGTTTATCAAGTGATGACAAGTCTCATATTTGCGGGGCTTCTCAAGGACCATTTGTATCAGAATAGAGATATTACATTATTTGACAATCCTAGAAATTAAATTATACAAGATACCACATTTTAAAAGCCTAAATGTTTTAAATACTACCTCATGTATGATAACTTCATAATTACTGTCTGACACAAAGTATATATTCAACATTGTAGCCCTCTGTCCATCGACTTCTAATTGTACACATAATCTAGAGACTTCTAGTCAAGATGGATACACAGGTACAAACACATTAAAAAGCTAGAAAAACTATTAAAAATAAGTATCTTCCAAACCAATCATAAAATTCACATGGAAATCCAAGGGGCTGGCAACAGCCAAAAGAATCGTGAAAAATAACAAAGCTGGAGGGCTAACACTCGCCAATTTTAAAACTTCCTACAAAGCTATAGCAATCAAGACAAGGTAGTACTGTCCCAAGGACAGATATATAGATCAATGAAATAAACTGATGACCCAGAAATAGATCTTTACCATTTAAGGTCAACTGAATTTTCAACAAGGGTGTCAAGATAGTTCAGTAAGGGAAAAAAACAGTCTTTTGAATAAATGGTTATACAAACAACTGGTTCTCATGACAAAGAACAGAGTGGCATCCTTTCCTCACAGCACACACAGATATGCACTCAAAATGGATCATAGACCTAAATGTAAGACCTAAAACTATAAAATGCTTAGAAAAAAACATAGGTGTAAATCTTCATAACCTTGGATTAGGCAACAGTTTCTTAGACATGACACCAAAAACATAAGCAACCAAAGAATAGACTACAACAAAATTTAAAACTTTTGTGCTGCAAATCATTATGAAAAAAGTGAAAGATGAGACAAAGAATGGAAAAAAATATCTGCAAATCAAGTATCTGACACAGGACTGATACCCAGAATATACAAAGAATTCTCATAACAATAATAAAAAGACTAAATAGCCCAATTAAAAAATGGGAAAAGATGGGAACAGACATTCTCCAAAGAAGATACACAAATGGCCAAAAAAGAAGTTCAATGTTATCAGACACTGGGGAAATGCAAATCAAAACCACAACGAGATAGATACCACTTCACATCCAATAGGATGGCTAAAATAAAAAAGGCAGATAATAACAAGTGTTGATGAGAATATAGAGAAACTGAAGCCCTCCATGCACATTGCTGGTGGAAAGGTAAAATAGCACTGCCATTTAGAAAATGAGTTCGGCAGTCCCTCAAGTAGATAGACATAAGAGTTATCTTTTGATTCAGGAATTCCACTCCTAGGTATACATTCAGGAAGACAAAAACATCAGTCAGTTCAGTTCAGTCGCTCAGTTGCGACCCCATGAATCGCAGCACAGCCAGCCCTCCCTGTTCATCACCAACTCCCGGAGTTTACCCAAACTCATGTCCATCGAGTCGGTGATGCCATCCAACCATCTCATCCTCTGTCATCCCCTTCTCCTCCTGCCCCCAGTCCCTCTCAGAATCAGGGTCTCTTCCAATGAGTCAACTCTTCACATGAGGTGGCCAAAGTATTGGAGTTTCAGCTTCAGCATCAGTCTGTCCAATGAACAACCAGGACTGATCTCCTTTAGGATGGACTGGTTGGATCTCCTTGCAGTCCAAGGGACTCTCAACAGTCTTCTCCAACACCATAGTTCAAAAACATCAATTTTTCGGCGCTCAGCTTTCTTCACAGTCCAACTCTCACATCCATACATGACCACTGGAAAAACCATAGCAGTGACCAGATGGACCTTAGTTGGCAAAGTAATGTCTCTGCTTTTTAATATGCTATCTAGGTTGGTCATAACTTTCCTGCCGAGGAGTAAGCGTCTTTTAATTTCATGGCTGCAGTCACCATCCGCAGTGATTTTGGAGCCCCCAAAAATAAAGTTGACACTGTTTCCACTGTTTCCCCATCTACTTCCCATAAGGTGATGGGACCAGATGCCATGATCTTAGTTTTCTGAATGTTAAGCTTTAAGCCAACTTTTTCTACTCTCCTCTTTCACTTTCATCAAGAGGCTTTTCAGTTCCTCTTCACTCTCTGCCATAAGGGTGGTGTCATCTGCATATCTGAGGTTATTGATATTTCTCCCAGCAATCTTGATTCCAGCTTGTGCTTCTTCCAGCCCAG